GATGTGAGATGATCGCAGCTACGACACTTCCAGCTCGAGCGGCTGTCATGAGCAAGATCAGGTCCTACTCTGCCGCAGAGCACGGCGAATTCTTTCTTCGATTCCAGCTTCACGTCCCAGCTCCCCCGTGAGCTCGCAGGGAAGACGGAGTTCACTCTTCTCCCGTTAGAGCAGAGAGCAGAGCATCCATGCCGCTGGACGGAGAGGAGGACGAGGGAAGGAGAGAAGGAAGGAGGGAGGGAGGGAAGGAGGGAGGGAGGGAGGGAGGGAGGGAGTGGAGGATGGATGGATGGATGGAGGGAGGGAGTGGAGGATGGAAGGAGGGAGTAGAGGGGGCTGCAGGCAGAGGGAACGAAATATGAATTTAGTTGATTTGGTCGTTTGTCGCAGATTCCAGGAGAAACCCCTTGCTTGCAGACAGTGCAAATGAAGGAGATGTTGAGCAATGAATTGTAATGCGGTTCTCGTTGTGATTGGTTGTGCCCTTCCCTCCCCTCACGTTCCTCTCTCTCGCCCTCACAACGCTAGTAGTGTACACGTATTGCTCTCATTCTCATCCTCATAACGCTAGTAGTATACACGTATTGCTCTCATTCTCATCCTCATAACGCTAGTAGTATACACGTATTACTCTCATTCTCATCCTCATAACGCTAGTAGTGTACACGTATTGCTCTCATTCTCATCCTCATAACGCTAGTAGTATACACGTATTGCTCTCATTCTCATCCTCATAACGCTAGTAGTATACACGTATTGCTCTCATTCTCATCCTCATAACGCTAGTAGTATACACGTATTGCTCTCATTCTCATCCTCATAACGCTAGTAGTATACACGCGTATTGATAGTTACACGTCATGCCATCAGTTTCTTTTCTTTGCTCACTGACGTTCAAAAAGCGGAGGATGTGTCTCCACCCTACCCCCTCTTTACTTACTCGATCATTATCAACGGGTGGGGTGGGAGCAATCGAAATGGCGGGAGAGATGACGAAGGTGATATGCATGGGAACGCGATAGAGAAAGACGAAGAAAGAGAAGAAGAAGATGAGCATGAACGTGCTTGTGCATGCGAACATGTGAAGCAAACCTTACCATCTCATCCTCATGCAAAGTTTGCAAACTACCGTCGCCAGATTTATCGTGAACTCTTTGCTTGAGAACAAGGACGGTCGGGAGGTCAGAAGCATTGCGCGATGGAGGCATGGGATCGGAGGAGGCAGTCTCGCCGATGACGTGCTCCTCGACATCATGGACGGGCTTATCTTCTACTTGCAGTTGCAGCACGTCGACCCCAAGGCGAGGAGCGGGCGCAGCATGGAAGACGAGAGCTTCTGGATGGAGGTTCTGCGAGTTTACCTGGAGCGAGGGTGGGTATCTGACAAGAACCTGGAGTTGCGATGGGAGAGCAGGAGGGAGAAGCTTAACCGATCGGTTGTATCCTCCTTCACCCGCCTTACTTCACTACACCTTCACGGCATCTCCGCCAACGACGAGGTAGTCCATGTTGCAAGCTCCCTGAAATTTCTCGCGCACCTTGAGCTAGTCTGCGATAAGGCAGTGCCGTCCGTCGGTACGTCGGGCACGATGTCGTGCAAGAGATGTTTACAGCTGACCCACGGAGAAGTGAGCTCGTCGTTTGTGTCGGACACAAGTTTGACATGTCTGTCTTCCACGACCTCGCTTACCCACCTCAGCCTCCGTAACACCTGCATCACCGACAGCTCTCTCCCTCTCCTCAAGCTCCTGCCTGCCATCCGGACTGTCGACCTGTCAGGCAGTCACGTCACGGACGAGGGTCTGCGGTGGCTGGGGAGCACGACCTTCTCTGCGTTCAAGAGCTCGCAGTTCACCAACCTGTCACTTTGTGAGACTCTAGCGACGCCTACTGGCATTGACACATTAGGTGAAAGCTGATGTTTCGCTTCTCAATGCTGCTGCTGCTGCTGCTGCTGCTGCTGCTTCTGCTGCTGTTGCTGCTGCTGATGATGATGGAAACTACGATGATGTTGATGGAAATGATGATGATGATGATGATGATGATGATGATAATGGAGATCATGATAATGGAGATGATTATGATGATGGAGATGATGGAGATCTAGATGATGATGACGACGATGACGATGATGACGATGATGATGATGATGAAGATGATGATGATGACCCCGACGACGACGACGACGATACAGTGGAATGTGGTCTTGGTGGCGGAGTAGGAGATGATGATCGTAGAAATAATTGCTCTCGAGCACCACTGGCGCGCTCCTTGTTTTTCTGATTTTTTTGTCTTGATCATATTGCAATTTTTCTCATTTGAATTGTTAGATCGTATCCAAACTTTGCAAGTTGTAACATGGGGATCATGTTCCAACCCAAGAGAACGACGTTTTGAACGAGATATGGAAACACAACAAGATTCCAACAAGCAAGGAAGCACGCGAACATCAGAAGGCACAATCAAATGTTTCTTCACATCCAAGGTCATGAATGGTCGACAGGTCTGACTGCAATGTTCTGTGCTGGCATGTTGATCGCTTGTGTAGGTGCTGTCATGCGCTATCGAGAATGAGACGATGGAGACCAAGAGAAAGTACAAACTGACATGTCTTCTTCGACATCTCGGCAGGTGTGAGGGGTTGCGAACAAAACGAGAGGGAGAAATGAGAGTCAAGTCTGCAAACACATTCCCACATCCAGAGACGAAGAGAGATGTTGGCCGGGTTTCAGACATGACGATGCTAAACAAGAAGAGAAAATTCCTCCATCATCCCCGATTTTGTTCTTGAGATCGTTACACATCATTACCAAGTAAAGATTCTAAGTCCGGGATAACGTTGAGTTTGGCGAAGATGTCTCCCTAGTGCCTCAGTCAGGAACGATGAGAATGGACGCTGATCTTACCAAGTGAAACATGTCGTCCGAACTGTCTTTTGTTGCTACAACCTGCGAGCAGGTCAGGAGGAGGGAGAAGGGAGAGTGAGGCAGGAGGAGGAGGAGGTAGGAGGAGATAACACCAGCTGGTTATGGCACGCGGCAGATGCAGGGAGGAAGAGCAGCGGAAGAAAGGACAGGGAAGGAAAAGGAGGGACGTGAGGGGAGGGGAGGAGACGATTCAGCGCTTGATAGTGACCTGCTGCAAGAAGTTGCTCTGAGCTGCCTCTGCGATCTTGTAGTTGACCTCTCCCAGTCGCAAAGTGACCTGAACATGATCAGAAGAAGCAGAGAGGGAGGGAAAGTAACACATGCCAATGATAACAAGAAAACGAGAAGATAAAGAAAGAGAGCGAGGAGAGCGAGGGAAAACGTGGTGGAACAGTTCAAGATAGAAAGTTAACATGGATAGGGCAGGATAGAGTAATGGGATGGAGATAGAGAAACAGAAGGAGGGGAGAGGGGTCAGGAGTTGGGAGGGGCCAAGAAGGAGGAGGATGGGAGGACGATGAGGATGAGAAGGGCTGGGGAGGAAGGTAGAAAAGTATACTTTTCCTGATTGGTGGATGCGAATCTTGCCCATTCGTCCTGACGGCTGGTCTCGCAGAGGATTCTTGACACTGAGCAGAGATTACCGAACCAAATCCTTTGTAGTGTCGATGGTGGCGCTGGTTGTGATATGATGGTGATGGTGATGACGAAGGAGGAGGAGAAGAAGGAGAAGAAGAGGGAGAAGAAGAAGAAGAAGACGGAGAAGAAGAAGAAGAAGAAGAGAGAAGAAGAAGAAGAGAGAAGAAGAAGAAGAAGAAGAAGAAGAAGAAGAAGACGGAGAAGAAGAAAAAGGAGGAGGAGGAGGAGGAGGAGAAGAAGAAGAAGAAGAAGAAGAAGAAGAAGAAAAAGGAGGAGGAGAAGAAGAAGACGATGACGATGACGATGACGATGACGATGAAGAAAAGGATGAAGAGGAGGATAGGAGAATAGGGAGGGATACTGGCTGTTCTGGTTCTGGATGTGGTGGAGGAGAGGAGGACGCAGAGAATAGAAAAAAAAGTGAAAGAGAAAGTGACAGAGTGAAAAGAGGAAAGCGAACAACTTAGCGGTGGTCTTTGTGGTTTTACCTCGGTTTGCTCAGCCCATCACTGTCAATGTCATCTTGAAATTCATGCTGATCCACTGAGCACAAAAAAAGTTCAAACATGGTGGAAATCGAAAGGAAAAAGCGCAAAGAAGGGCAACATAGTAAGAGCCAAAACAAAGAATAAAAAACAAATGGTCACACAAGCACTCAAAGCAGAACACAGGAGGAAACAGAAACATCTTTGCTGGAATTCATATCATGTATCCACATAAGAACACCCTCAACACTATCAGCTTCGCATCCCCGTGCTCTAGCCCTCCTGTACCTTCCATCGAGTCCTTGACAAACGGAAAGGTATGCGGCAACTGCAGCAGCAGCAGCCTACCAGCCCCGTCAAGCTCCTCACAGCGGTCAGACGCCCCACCTATCCTCAGCTTTACTGCCGTCCTGACGAGTTGGGCTGAGAATCGAGCCCTGCAGGAATCCGAGGAGTCAGCTGGGCAGCAGGTGGCAGTCTAGAGACCGCGGCGAAGCAGTGGTGGTTCGGAGCGTCAACGTTGACAGCCTCCTTGGCAACAGCCCAGATGTTGTGCGGCTGATCGTCGGCATCAAGCTGCTCCATCATGCTCTCCGAGTGCTGGGAGGAGGTCAGAATAGAGGAGGAGAGAGAAGAGGCAGGGGAAGAGGTCAAGGGAGAAATGGAGAGCAGAACAACAAAGGGGGAGAGAACAAGGGGCAGGAGGAGAAGAAAACAGAGGGGAAGCAGAAAGTGAGGAAAGAAGGGGAGGGGGGGGGGGGGGGGCGCGTCAACCCCCGGCGGCCTGGCCCGATCATAAAATAATGGGCCCGGCCCGCACTACCGCCGGTGGCCGGGCAGGGCTCTGATCTCCGTCTTTACTGAAAAGCCTGGCCGGGTGTTGGGGTGTTGAGCCTGCTGCTTTGGGGATGCCAGAGCGTAGGAGCGCCGTCCTCCTCCCTCTCCTCCTCCTCCTCTCCTCCTCTGGTTATGCCTCACAGTTTGCAGCTGACTGCGAGGGTGTCAGACGAACAGGTGGGAGCCAGGAGGACGTCCTCGAATGCTTGAGGGCGAGAACCAGGGCAGCTGCCGAAAGATCCTTCCGCATGGCTTACCCTTGGGCTGC